TTCCATACCACTGCAGTGTCTTCCAAGCGGAAGTCATTGCTATACATGAAGCGCTAAGATGCCTTCAAGAGATCTCAGTCGCGGCTACTCACCTCAACATCTATAGTGACAGCCAGGCGGCACTAAAATCGCTAGACGCGATTTCGTCGAATTCGACCACAGTGGCAAATTGTCGCAAATCTCATCACGAGATGGCAAGGCAATATGTTATTATCCTAATATGGGTCCCGGACACCAGGACATTGAAGGCAACTGCATAGCAGACGAGTTGGCCGGATCTGGCACTACACTCCCCCTTAATCAAGATACGAGGAAATACGTATGCCAATGGCCACTTGCAAGCTCAAAATAAAGGAGTACTATACCCTGCAAACAACCAACAGATGGCAAATGGTCACGGGCTGTCGCATCACCCGACAAACGTGGCCAGAAATCTCGAAAAAACGCACCGCTGAACTGTACAAACTAAGCAGACATAGGTGCAGCGTAGTCATTCGCTCTCTTACAGGGCACTGGCTAATAGGCAACCATGCGAATGGGCTGGGTGACCCCTACAACGACTTCTGTCGTAGCTGTACAGGAGCTGTAGCTGTAGGAGACAGTAGAACATCTGTTCTGCTCCTGCCCGGCTCTCAGTAGAAGGAGGTTAAAATATCTGGGCTCACCTTTTCTTAACGACATTTCAGAAATGGCTACTATAGGCCCCAGGAAGATAGCAAACTTTGTTAGAGCATCTGGATGGGAGCACTGTTGACACCCTGACAAACGGGAGGAGAAGAGGAAAAGATCCAAGCGGAATCACAACGGGCCGAAACCGGCCTAGGTGTGTCGGGATTGTGAAGTCCGACGTCCAGACGGACAGACTGAAATGGCTAAATCGACTCGGCATTTGATGCTGATCAAGAATATATATACTTTATGGGGTCGGAAACGTTTCCTTCTGTGCGTTACATACAACCGTTATTCGCACAAATACAATATACCCTATTTACTCTTTGAGTACCGGGTATAAAAAATATAATTCTAATCATGGCACTAGGCATGGTCTCTGAGGGAGGCGTTTGACTGCAATATGAATTTTGCTGTGATTATAAATTAGGTTAAAACAAACAAACAAAAACTGAAAAAACTGTCACAAAACTGTTCTGAATTCATAAGATGAAGGAGTAGGCTTTGAGAACATTTTTCTAGGGCTAGGTGCTGCTAGATTACTTATTTTCAGTCACTAGTGATCCGGCTTGCGTGAAGTTCATTTGGTTTTCGTGTAAAAATTCGTTTCGTCGTGTTTTTTTTTTAATTTAATTTTGATTAAAATTTTATTTTTTTGCTCTCATTATGTTTTTTGCTGGAGACTCGGACTTTCAGAGGTTGCTCAGGGAGAACGGCTTTGGTAAACGGCAGTAAGATCACAATTTGAATTTACTGATTTACTGTACCCCCCACCCACCACAGACCGAAGTGATCTGCGCGCTGAAGTGGAACTGAATTGCACTCACCCCGCCATTCTGGAGTTTCCCAACTTCATGAGAAGGAAGAGTATCGCGTCGGCGGTGATTTGTTTTCTACTCTGCATGTATTTGTTCATCCTTCTGGCAATTGTGTGTGACGACTATCTCGTGCCCTCCATGGAGCGGCTGTGCTACAGTAATTTCAATAACTTTCCATTTTCCCCTGAACAAGTTCTCGGAAACACTCGGAAAGTTCGTGCAAGTGAATGCTCGAAATCGAAGTGTGCCCTGACAAGGTTGTCTGTCAAACTTGTTCAATACTCAGTTTATATCTAGTGGTGGACACACAACTCATCACAATTTGCATTTCCATTTCTCTATCCAGCACTTCGCTTGACCTATGATGTGGCTGGTGCAACTTTCCTGGCAGCGGCCACCTCGGCCCCAGAGCTCTTCGTTGCATTCGTCGGCACATTCATCACGGAGGGCGACATTGGTGTGGGCACCATTGTAGGATCCTCGGTGTTCAATGTACTAGGAATTGCCACCGTCTGCGGAATTTTTACAGGCGTGGTACATATCATTAAGCCCTGACTGAGCTGTTCCTTATCCATTTTTGACTTGCCCCTTTTCCTTCTTCGTGATCTTTACTTGCAGACGGCTAAGCTGGACTGGTGGCCCATCACAAGGGATACCATGTGGTACTTGGTCTCCATCACATTACTTGGCCTTGTGCTCATCGACTCGAAGGTGAGCTGGTGGGAGGCTATCATCATGCTGAGCTGCTACTTCGTCTACCTGACTACACTTATCTTCGATCGGAAGCTGCAGAAGTTGTGTCGATGTGAGGGGATGGAATCGAATGAATGATTCGAATGTTTGCCTATTTATATGTACTTTGTAGCACTGGAAGGCGAGCGGGAGCTGATGGATGAGGACCCAATGCAGCGGGAGGAGGACCCACTGATGACATTCCGCCAGCACGTGTGCAGTAAACCAGAGAAGGGGTCCCCCTGCATCGAAGTGACCTGGTGGGTGATCAAGTATCCGGCCATTCTGATACTGGCCATTACCACGCCCAGTGTGCGGAGCGTATTCTTTCTAACAATGCTTGTGGCCGTCCTGTGGATCTCGGGTATATCGTATCTGGTCGCCTGGTTCCTCTCCGTTGTCGGCTACAACATTGGCATACCCGACTCGATCATGGGCCTGACCATCCTGGCCGTCGGCACTAGNCCTTCTTCGTGATCTTTACTTGCAGACGGCTAAGCTGGACTGGTGGCCCATCACAAGGGATACCATGTGGTACTTGGTCTCCATCACATTACTTGGCCTTGTGCTCATCGACTCGAAGGTGAGCTGGTGGGAGGCTATCATCATGCTGAGCTGCTACTTCGTCTACCTGACTACACTTATCTTCGATCGGAAGCTGCAGAAGTTGTGTCGATGTGAGGGGATGGAATCGAATGAATGATTCGAATGTTTGCCTATTTATATGTACTTTGTAGCACTGGAAGGCGAGCGGGAGCTGATGGATGAGGACCCAATGCAGCGGGAGGAGGACCCACTGATGACATTCCGCCAGCACGTGTGCAGTAAACCAGAGAAGGGGTCCCCCTGCATCGAAGTGACCTGGTGGGTGATCAAGTATCCGGCCATTCTGATACTGGCCATTACCACGCCCAGTGTGCGGAGCGTATTCTTTCTAACAATGCTTGTGGCCGTCCTGTGGATCTCGGGTATATCGTATCTGGTCGCCTGGTTCCTCTCCGTTGTCGGCTACAACATTGGCATACCCGACTCGATCATGGGCCTGACCATCCTGGCCGTCGGCACTAGTGTGCCCGAGGTGGTTTCCTCCTACATCGTGACCAGAAAGGGTAAGAGAGTCACAAGAGTCTTGTGTGAATAGTTCCCCATCTTTCATGTCATAAATCCTCAATACCCAATCCTCAATCTGCTCTGACGACTCTAGGGTACGGCTCAATGGCCATGTGCAATGCGATCGGCTCGAACACGTTCGACATCTTCATTTGCCTGGGACTGCCCTGGCTGCTCAAGTCTATTATACAGAAAAACACAGTCAAGATCCACTCCGAGGGCCTGACGATCACAACAGCCATGCTGGTCGCCACGATTGTCCTCCTGTACGCGTGTTTCCTGCTGACCAAGTTCACACTGGGCAGGCCCGTGGGCTGGATGAGCCTCATCACATATGTCCTGTTTCTAACCTGTGCCATCGCCATCGAAATAATCAACGACAATTTGAACCACTGCGACATCGAAGATGATGCCTACACACATCTTCTGCACAAGAATATTTGATCTCTATGTATCTTCTATGTATTTCCAATCAAAATTCATCCGTATTCCAGAGTAAAGTAACAAAGCGGCCGGAGTGTGTTTTATTAGGGCGTTTTATGTTTTATTTATTATGCTTTGTCCATCATCGATAACCACCACTCCACTAACTAACACCAAAGGCTTATCAGCACGGCTTGCCGTTCGGTTCGCTTCTCCTACTTCGGTCGCAAGTACAAAACATTCAGCAGATAGCCATCGGAACTACATACATATGTGCATACATAAATGGCCAGCTGCGCTCCCTGCCCGAGTATTGGCGGAAGATGATCTTGATGATTGGTCGCGGCTGGGTCCATTTTCGTCCATCTTTTGTCCCCTCAAGTGACCAAAAGTGCCTCAAACTAATTGTTTTGCTGGCTGTGGGCGAATTTTGGCGGTAACGACAACAATTAATCGGTGCGAGTATTGTGTTGATCGTGTGTGTACACCAACACTAACCTCTACCAATCATCAATAACCAATTTCCAATCTCTAATTCGTATGGCCCGAATTTTTTTAAAATATTTGAAGTCTTTCGCTTTTGGTGAAATGTGCAATAGCCACCCAAACTATGGGCCACTTTCGCCTCTAGTTTATCCAAAATGAACTAATGATATCTTACACCTATTTGCACAGTTTGTTGGTGGAATCTGAACAATATCTCTCCCGTTTGCTTCCACAGGCGACACACTTAAGATACCTGACTCGGTGATGGGGATCACGTTCCTAGCCGCGGGCACCATCGTACCAGAGGCCGTTTCCAGCGTGATTGTTGCCAAACGTGGTGAGTTTTCAACAGTTTGGGTCCAATGTGCAATGTGTAGTGTGCGATATGCAACGATACTTTTGTTTGGTTAATGAGGCTTGTGAATTGGTTTACAGGGTACGGATCAATGGGTATTTGCAACTCGATTGGATCCAACACCTTCCATATTCTTCTGGGCCTGGGCGTGTACGGTGAGGCGTGTAGCTGCTTTTGTTTTTTTTGAGAAAATCTTGTTTTGTGATCCGCCGAAAAATAGGCACTGGCAGGAGTAAAAATACGAGCACAGTTCTCTTTAGAAATTAGCGGAGGAAGCGAATTAGCAATGGTATGGAGAGCAGAGAATGCAGAGACAAGTTCATCAAGAGGAGAGCGAGTTCGAAGCCAAGTTTCGAATAGACATAAGCTTTAAATAGAGGTCGGCAGGACGCCATTGGGCATTTCCGATCTGTATCGCTATCAACTAAAGGAGTTTCAGAGGCCAAGAAAGTTTTTTTCAAGTGTATAAGTGCAGTTTAAGTTAAATTTACACCGCCAAATTGGACCACCATCGATCTGCTAGACCAACTAGCCTGCGAGAGCCGCAAGGCATTGATTAGGTAAGGGAAGCGGGGGTGAAAAACAATAAGAAAAGGTGATACTGAAACTGAACATTTGCCCACCTTTATGCATATGTACGACTAGATAAGCATTAGAGGAGGCTCGCCCGCTATAAGTACCAGCTGGGGTGAAAAAAAAATAAAAATAAACCTGCACATAAGTAAGCCATAGCGGAGGCTCGGCCCTTTGAATTTGTCAGCTGGAGCGACAGAGAGTTTCGCCGGAGCTTTTGCCGCCGCTAAGCAAGCAAGCAAGCAAGCGAGAGGGAAGACGGCGCACAGTACCAGGCCAACGGCGGCCGCTTAAAACAGCGCCAAAGCGTTGCTTACGCGGAGTAATTAAAACCCCGCTAGGGAGGGGAGGGGAATAAACGAATTATTGAAATCAAAATTACAGCCCAACCCACTCAATAAGTGAAAAGAATGTTATAGAAAAAATGAGAGAAAAACACCCTCCACTAATGTTTAAATACGTATAATTATAGTCTAAAAATCTTTATTTAAATGGATAGGTACTTTTAGTTTTCTAGTTCTATTCTATCTCTTTCTACCTTCCTTTAAAAGTTTAAAAGCGATCGCCGTTAAGTGAAAAGATGGCATAGAGAGAAAATAAATTGAGACATGCAAAAGTGGAAAAGAAAGAAACGAACAAATTTTATTGCACCGATTTACCGCAAGACGGATTTTATCTGTGCATAATTGTGTGTGCTGCGGCTAAGTGTTTTTTCTTTTGTTGTTCTGGGTTTTTTTTTGGTGTTTATTTTCAGCGGCCGAAATCGGAAGCGCTTCAACGATGGAGGTACCGACTGTGAGTAACTATATATCTACAATTGAAATTATTTCTTGTTTGGGCGCAATGGTCCATTAGTTAGGGCGAATAGGGTAAAAGAATAAGAGAGAAAAAAAACGGAGAGCCCAAGCCCCTAAACACATATACCCTTCCCATTAAAAATAGAGGGTATCTGTATGCAAGTGCAGGTGCAGCTGGTTTTTTTTGTTTTCTCCACATTTTTCAATCTCGCTTCCCATGCCTTCACCCTTCTTTATTTTCCCCTCTTATCATGTCCATTTATTGTGCATTTATTTATATTTCATTTTGCTTCTCTGCCTTCTATTGATATAAAAATCGTTACATTTAGTTTATTTTAAGCAAAATTTATTACAGGGTACAATTTATGGGAATTGATTTTTGTATGGGAAATTTAGAATTAATGTTTATTAGAGTTAAATAAATATTTATAATGTTTGAGTAAAGTATAAGTGTTTGATCTCCTACAGCAAGCCCCTGTAGGCCCCTCGAAGACAAAGGGGTCTTGAAATTAGTATATTTATTTTTGGCGAATTCAATACCAAGGTAGGGCGGGCGTAGATGTGCCTTGCAAACATCTGAGGTATGCTGTCCGTTGTCCGTTTTACACCTATAGTTATTGTCTTCCGTTTTAGGCGTTGTACTCTTCCGTCCGGTTTATGGCTTTTTGTGTGCACGTTTCATTTTATTTAAAGTAATACTAAGGTAGGCCCTAGCTTGGACAAGAACACCACACTCGTAGCCGACGAGCCAGCACCCGGAACACATATGTATAAGCGTGCCGTCCAAGAGCTAGGAATAACATCTTGCCTATACATGGGTTATCCGTTACCCGGCACTCAGTACTACATCTGCACCTAAGGTGCATTTTATTTTTGTCAAATTTTACATTTTTTCTTCATCTGTCATCTACATCAACAACACCACTCACGCCAACATGTTCCTTTAGCTCGCCACCCTCCCCTAGAGCCACACACTACAGATCCAGGGCAGTGACGCTACAGAGGCAGAGGCAGAGGCAGAGACGTGTCAGAGGCAGAGGCCGCACACTGCGCGAATCAGAGTGTGAATGAGAGAATGTGCAAAAAACAAATATAAGCTGCGGGACGGGGTTCAAATTAATTTCTTCATTGTGGCCATAATAATGATCCAATCGGATCCCAATTTGGTGATCTGATAGATATGGTCATTCCCTACGGAATGGCGTTTTTATACCCGGTACTCGAAGAGTAAATAGGGTATATTGTATTTGTGGGGAATAACGGATGTATGTAACGCACGGAAGGAAACGTTTCCGAACCCATAAAGTATATATATTCTTGATCAGCATCAATAGCCGAGTCGATTGAGCCATGTCTGTATGTCCGTATGTCCGTCAGTCTTGTTTGTCGGCTAGTTCTCAGAGACCATAAGAGTTAGAGCCACCAAATTTTGGCTCCGGACTGCTGTATGCTCACACTGAAACCAGTGTATTTCAAAAATTAGCCTCGCCCCCATCCGCCCCCGCAAAAGGGCGAAAACCTCCGAAACCTACAGTTTTGAAGACAAAAGAAAACTGAAAACGCCATTCCGTAGGAAATGGCCATATCTATCAGATCACCATGGGATCCGATTGGATCATTATTATAGCCAGAATGAAGAAATCAATTTGCAGTGGCTAAACCCACCCTGTCCCGCAGTCTTTGTTGTTCTTTTCACATTCTCTCATTCACACTCTGCTTCTGCTACGCTCGGCCTCTGCCTCTGCCGACTTTGAACCCACCCCGTCTCGCAGCTAATATTTGTTTTTTTTTGTGTGCGGGCGCTGCCACTGCCGCGAGTCTGCAGTGTGTGGGTCAAGGGAAGGAGGGCGAGTTAAAGGAGCGTGTCGGTGTGAGTAGTGTTGTTGATGTAGATGGCAGATGAAGAAAAAATGTAAAATTTGACAAATAACCGCTAAGGTGCAGATGTAGTACTGAATGCCGGGTATGAAAGTTGTGACGCCTAAGAAGCGTCTCACACGTCCCTTCTCGTTAGTTTTCAAAATTGTAGATTTGGGAGGTTTTCGCCCTTTTACGGGGGCGGGGCTCATTTTTGAAATACGCTTGTAACAGTGTGAGCATTCAGCGATTTTGTTGCAAAATTTGGTGCCTCTAGCTTTTATAGTCTCTGAGATCCAGGCGCTCCAGACGTCCAGACGCACAGACTGACATGCCTAAATCGACTCGGCTATTGATGCTGATCAAGAATATATGTACTTTATGGGGTCGGAAACGTTTCCTTCTGTGCGTTACATACAACCGTTATTCGCACAAATACAATATACCCTATTTACTCTTTGAGTACCGGGTATAAAAAATATAATTCTAATCATGGCACTAGGCATGGTCTCTGAGGGAGGCGTTTGACTGCAATAAGAATTTTGCTGTGATTATAAATAAGGTTAAAAAAAAACAAACAAAAACTGAAAAAACTGTCACATACGAGTTCTGAATTCATAGGATGAAGGAGTAGGCTTTGAGAACATTTTTCTAGGGCTAGGTGCTGCTAGATTACTTATTTTCAGTCACTAGTGATCCGGCTTGCGTGAAGTTCATTTGGGTTTCGTGTAAAAATTCGTTTCGTCGTGTTTTTTTTAAATTTAACTTTGATTAAAATTTTATTTTTTTGCTCTCATTATGTTTTTTGGTGGAGACTCGGACTTTCAGAGGTTGCTCAGGGAGAACGGCTTTGGTAAACGGCAGTAAGATCACAATTTGAATTTACTGATTTACTGTACCCCCCACCCACCACAGACCGAAGTGATCTGCGCGCTGAAGTGGAACTGAATTGCACTCACCCCGCCATTCTGGAGTTTCCCAACTTCATGAGAAGGAAGAGTATCGCGTCGGCGGTGATTTGTTTTCTACTCTGCATGTATTTGTTCATCCTTCTGGCAATTGTGTGTGACGACTATCTCGTGCCCTCCATGGAGCGGCTGTGCTACAGTAATTTCAATAACTTTCCATTTTCCCCTGAACAAGTTCTCGGAAACACTCGGAAAGTTCGTGCAAGTGAATGCTCGAAATCGAAGTGTGCCCTGACAAGGTTGTCTGTCAAACTTGTTCAATACTCAGTTTATATCTAGTGGTGGACACACAACTCATCACAATTTGCATTTCCATTTCTCTATCCAGCACTTCGCTTGACCTATGATGTGGCTGGTGCAACTTTCCTGGCAGCGGCCACCTCGGCCCCAGAGCTCTTCGTTGCATTCGTCG